GAGACACTCGTCAGACCCACCAGCGGGCCTCCGCCTCGTCCTCGGGGGCCATCCGGCGGGAGGGAGGAAGGGATTAAGGAAAGAAGGGGGGGCACGGGATGATGATGATGCTGCTGATGATGATGATGCTGCTGCTGATGATGATGATGATGCTGATGCTGGTGATGATGATGCTGATGCTAATGCTGATGATGATGAGGCTGACGCTGATGCTGATGCTGCTGCTGATGATGTTGATGATGCTGCTGATGATGATGATGATGATCATGATGATGATGCTGATGCTGCTGCTGATGATGATGATGATGACGATGGTGGTGGTGCTGGTGGTGGTGATGATGATGGTGATGATGCTGATGATTATGATTATGAGGATGCTGCTGCTGATGATGATGATGCTGATGATGATGATGCTGATGATGATGATGATGATGATGGTGATGATGATGATGATGATGATGATGATGATGGTGGTGGTGGTGGTGGTGGTGGTGATGATGATGATGATGAAGATGATGATGATGCTGATGATACTGATGATGTGATGATGGATGATGGTGTGGTGGTGGTGGGTGATGTGATGATGATGATGAGGATGAGATGATGATGAGATGATGATGATGATGATGATGATGATGATGATGGTGATGGGAGATGATGATGATGAAGAGGACGCGGAGGACGAACGATGACGAGGATGATGATGATGCTATGATGATGATGATGGTGCTGCGGGTGATGCTGCTGCAGATGATGATGATGATGATGATGATGATGATGATGATGATGATGATGATGATGATGATGATGATGATGATGATGCTGCTGATGCTGATGATGATGATGATGATGATGATGATGATGATGATGCTGACGAGGAGGAGGAGGAGGAGGAGCATGAGGAGGAGAAGGAGGACGAGGAGGAGGACGAGGAGGAGGAGGAGGAGGCGTAGGAAGAGCAGGAGGACGAGGATGAGGATGAGGATGAGGATGAGGATGAGGATGAGGGTGATGATGATGATGATGATGAGGATGTGATGATGATGAGTGCGATGATGATGATTGATGAGATGCTGATGATGATGATGATGATGATGATGATGATCAACATGATATCATCATGATTATGCTGATGCGATGATGACGATGACGATGACGATGGACCCGTGACGATGACGCTGACGATTGATGATGATGATGATGATGATGATGATGATGATGATGAGATGATGATGATGATGATGATGACTGATGATGAGAGGGATGATGATGATGTATGATGATGATGATTGATGCTGCTGCTGCTTGCTGATTGATGATGATGAGGAGGAGGAGGAGGAGGGGGAGAGAGGAGGAGGAGGAGGAGGGGGAGGGAGGAGGAGGAGGAGGAGGAGGAGCGAGGAGGGAGGAGGAGGAGGAAGGAGGAGGTGGAGGAGGAGGAGGAGGAAGGAGGAGGAGGAGGAGTAGGAGGAGGAGGGGGAGGAGGAGGAGGGAGGAGGAGGAGGAGGAGAGGAGGAGGAGGAGGAGGAGGCAGGAAGGAGGGGGGGAGGGGGATGAGGAGGAGGAGGAGGAGGAGGAGGAGGAGGAGGAGGAGCGAGGAGGAGGAGGCGGAGGAGGAGGAGGAGAAGAGAGGAGAGGAGGAGGAGAGGAGGGAGGAGAATAGGAGGAGGAGGAGGTGGAGGAGGAGGAGGCGGCGGCGGGTTGGTCGTTTTCGACCTCCCGGGGCCTTCGCCAGGCCCTGGGACTGTCAAAGCATCACTCAGGGCGAAAAACCGTCTGTGGGGAAGTGGGCCAGACTTCCGGGCCCACGCATCTAAAAGATTGGAGCGGCTGGATGTCTGGGGAAGGAACAGGAGGGGGGAAGAGGAGGGGGGGCCTGCCAGAAAACGCGGGGTTGGCCAGAGGGGGGAAGCGGAGATTCAGGAGAGGGAGGACGAGGAGCAGGGAGGGGGGTTGCGGGGTTGGCCAGGGATGGTTTTGCTGGAGGGCCTCACGGGTGTCTCCTGCACGCGGCGCCAGGGCGCCCAGGGGATCGAGCGCCAAGGAGGCCAGGGCAGGACGCCTGCCAGTCGCCCAGTCAGGGCGAGGGAGCGGGGCAGAGATGCGGGACGAGGGGGCGCGCACTCCCCCCTTCCTCTCGTGGAGTGTCCGCCCCCCCCTCGCTGTCCTCACGCTATCCTTCCATGTCCTCATGCTCCTCTTCCTCCTCTTCCTCTCCATGCTGTTCGTACTCTTCCAGCGGCTGCCATCGGCCCAGCTGGACTGCCTCAAAGACGGCTGGAAGATCGCGGCCACACCCGCAGAGGCGTCGGTCAAGTCCGAATCGGGTACTCGAGGAGGCGAGTGGGTGCTGGCCAAAAGGCACCTGGTCACGACGAGCTGGGAGCTCATGAGCAAGCGTGGACCCCCCCTTCCGGGGCTTCTGTCCGCTCACCTTGCACCTTCGCAAAGGGAACGTGGTCATCATCACCGCCTACCTTTTTCCAGGCCGCAAGTTGGGAGGCGACAGCGCTCCGAGGGTGAAGGCGCTCACGGCCTTCCTGTCCACCCTCGCGGACCCGTGGCTGGTCATGGCGGACTGGAACATCACCCCCAAGGACCTGTAGCAGTCGGGCATCCTCGGGGTCTGGGACGGCGAGATCATCACCCCCAGCGATGTCGAGCACACCTGCACCAAAAGGGACAGCGCCTCCTTGATCGACTACCTGGTAGTCAAGCGAGGGTGCCACGAGCAGGTGAAGGTCCAGGGGTTCACGGATTTGGTTTGGCGCACACACATCGGTTTAGACATACAGATTTCCGACGCCCACAAAGATTGGTGGCACCAAGTGGTGACCTCACCGCAGGCTTTACCACATCATGATCGTCCCAAGCGCCAGGCCGACCCCAACAGCAAGCGGCAGAAGCAACTGGAGGAGAGGAGGGTCGCCCGTTGGCAGCGGCTACCCGACGAGTTGCACGAGAGTTCTGATGAGCTCCACCCTCCTTCAGACCTTCCACACGGTGATGCAGCCTCGGTCCCCTTCTACGACCAGCTGAGACGTGGGACAAGTGTTGGCTTGAGCCCGTCGGTCGAGACCGTGCCCGGAGCTGGTCAACGAGAGCATCGCCTGGGCGGTGCCACGCAACGAGGGCGCCGTCACGGCACTCTCGGCACGCTACGGCTATTGGGCGGCGACTGCGGAGCAAGCGATCTTGACCACCCGGCAGATTCCCAAGGACGAGTGGAGCAGGTACTGTGGGCGAGGCCAGCTGTACGGGCTAAGGTGGACGCGACTCAAGACGCCGCCTGGCCGAACACATATGCGTTCGCCTACGATGGAGTGGTGGTGGGCGATCGGGTCCATCATAGTGCGGTACCGCTCGTTGGTGCGCAACGGCTCCGGCCTGGATCAGCAGCATCGGTGCGTGCTCGCTCTCAACTCCATGGCCGCGCAGGCTCTTGAGCAGCCGCGCGCCGTTATCATCGGAAGCAAGGCCACCGCCGAGGAAGTTGACTACTGGATCAACCTGATTCTGCTGCCCAACGGCGAGGCTGATGTCGAAAGTTTGGATGGGATCGTGGAGGTCACCGAGAGGTGTGTCGGCCGAGCGTTTGCACGCTCCATGACGGCTGCGTCCCAGCGTACGTCAAGTGGGCAAAGGGCATGTGGGCCCACAAGCCGAGGTACCTCCACCAGCACGTGAAGGGTCCAGGGCCCTTGGAGGTCTTGGAGGCCCCGTGCGCTGCCGCGCCAGGGGCCACCTCTGACCCTCCGGAGATCATGGCTCAGAAGGTGCAGCGCTGGGCCCCGATGTGGACAGACGACAACGCGTCGCGCGACGCTATTTTGGACACGATGGAGCACCTCCACGCCCAGAGCCAGGTCGAGGCACTGCTGCCGCTCACTATGGATGACTTGGAGCCGTTGTGGTGCAAGCTGCCGAGCTCCAAGGCCAAGGGCGTCGACGTGTCTGGAGCTACAGATCTGCAGAGGCTGCCGCTGGCAGCCAAGCAAGAGGTCGTCCCCATCCTCAATGCTGCGGAGGACGTTGGCGCGTGGCCGCTGCAGATGCGGCTGACGCTTTGCGCCGTGCTGCCCAATCCAGCGGGTGGCGAGCGCATCATTGGCGTCCTCCCGAAGCTCATGGGCTTGTGGTCACGGGCGCGATCGGGGGCCACGGACCGCTGGGCTGACAGCAAGAACGACGTCTGGGACACCGCGGTGCGCAATTGGTCAGCGCTGCGAGCCGCCCTTCATCAGCGGGCAGTCATGGATGAGGTTGCCCACGAGCTGGGCTTTGCTGTGGCCGTGTTGTTGCTCGATCTTGAAAAGTTCTATGATAATATCTCTCTTCTGAAGCTCATGCAGGTTGCGTTATCCCAAGGTTGCCCTGCCGTCGTCGCCCTGTTAGAAATCCAGATGTGTTTGGTCCCGCGTGTGTTGAAATCTCGGGCCATGGCCAGCGATTTTTTCTTCGACTCGGCTCTTGGTCGCGGGATCATCCAAAGGAGTTTCGCTGGCCAAACTTTTCTTGAGGCCCATCGTGGATGAGGCCCACAAGGTTATCGCTTTGAATCAAGCCAAGGCCTCGTCAGCCATCTGGACTTTCGCTGGCGACGCTGTTGCTCGGTCCGAAGGTAGGAGGGCCGACGTGGTTGGCCAGGTGTCGGGGCTCGCTGACTCGTTTGTGCGGTCGTTCGCGGCTCAGGAGCTCCCGATCTCATCCAAGACCAAGTTAGTGGTCGACGCTCTTGGACTGGGGCCCGAGCTTTTGAAGCAGTTTAATGGTCTGGGGATGCCGGCCTCGCTCGTAAACACTGCTGTGGACTTGGGGTGTGATGTGGCGGGGGGCTCTCGTCGGTCGCGCGTCGAGCTCAACCGGCGTCTGAGCAAGGGCCGCTCCAGAGGTGCTCGTGTCCAGAAGATTAGGAAGCGCGCATCTCTCGCCAAGGCGTCCCAAGGCCTGTGGCTGCCAGGGGCTTTGCCTCAGTCGGTGCACGGGCACCAGGCGATGGG